CCCTCGCTGTCTCCCCTCGCTGTCTCCCCTCGCTGTCTCACCTCTCTGTCCCGCAGGTACATCACGTGCGCCGAGTACACGCAGTTCTACGGCGGCAAGAAAGCAGGGACGGGGGAGGTGTCCCGGCCCGCGGGGGTGCTGGGAGTGTGGCCGCACGAGCGTCCCCGGCCCCAGCCTGGGGCACAGCCTGGTAGCATCGCATTGAGACTCGCTCTGGCAGAGCTCTGTGTGGCAGTGTTCAAGGCCAGGCTGGGTAAAGCCTTGAGCACCCTGCTCTAGGGGGTGGTGTCCCTGCCCATGGCAAGGGGAGTTGGGACTACATCATCTTTAGAGTCCCTTCCAGCTCCTTAACGCTCTATGATCTTATGATCTGGCAGTGCAATTTCAGTTGAATCAATCAGAAAAAGTCTGATTTAAGTTTCAGTTTTGTAAGCCTTAGTGTATTTAACCTTGTCATCAGTAAATTGCCACCATGTATATAGCAAAACATAACTTTGCAATATTTCTTTGTTAACTACAATGCTGATACGGAGTATTGATTCAGCTTCTGTTGGGTTGGTTTTCTTTTTCCATAAACAGACCTTCCGCGGACCAATTTTAGACGTTTATCGTTTGATCACTGCAGGTAAGGCAACAAATTTGCGCTGTCATTATTAAATGACATATCTGTTTATGAGGGCTGTTGACACTGCACTGAGCTATGTTCTTCTGAAGCATTTGCTTTCATTGGCTCGTGCCTGCTGTGATAGCAGTGTGGCAAGCAAGAACTGAAACAATATCTACACTTCCCGTCATTAGTGTCTAAAGAGATTGGAGCTGATGGCTGGAAGAACACACAAGTGATAAAATAGCACGGAACAATTGCCATGTACATTCCACTCTTTCAAATCTGTGTAATCAAGGCTTGAATCGTCCCTCCTCAGAATGTGCTTGGTCAATCACTCATCTTGCTGAGACAGTGATTCGGTACATTGAAGGAATATTTCTGCTCTTTTTTAATGTTTAGAGTTTACTGCTTGAAGTGATGGAGTGGAAGAAGAGAGTTGGTAAAAGTGGGTTAGAAATTCTCTTGTAAACTAGGTAGTTCAAGAAGTTACCTTCCACATCTGTGAACTACTGCTGCTTGGCCAACAGCTCCCTGGATTATGGAAGCAGCCCTAACAGGGGATGCTGGATGTGACTGCCAGTTATTCCCTAGCCCATTTCAGTGCAAAGACAGTGAGTGTTTCTGCTGGAACCATCTTTTGTGCTGGTAGGCCCCGGCATGGCAATGGAAGTGGACCTAGGAGGATTACAGCATCCCTGTCTCTGTGGCTGTGAGTGCTGGCAGCTACATGTTCCTGAACTGCACCAGTTCCTCTCATGGATTTTGTTGTTAGCTTGTTTTGTGTAGAATCAGGTAGTCGATACTGGCAGCCACTCAGTATTTTCATTGGTATAGGCCTTGCTTTAACATGCACGGGAATCAGCAACATGTTACTTGCTTTTGTCATCATGATTTCCAGCTGATTTTGCTAACAAGAGTGTGTTTCTTTTTCGTAGTTTGTCCCTGCAGCCCTTTGAATACCCAGTTTGCACACCAGATGGGACAGTCTTTGACATACTGTAAGTTACTGTCTGTACTTAGCTTTATTTTTGTGTGGTTGAACTGATTACACCTGTGTAATCACCATTTGGTCTTAGGAAGTTGGCAAAAATAATCATACCCATCAATAGAGGTTTCTGATGGTGCTTGTCACTTACCACTTTATCCCTTCTGTTTCAGGAGCATTGTTCCTTGGATAAAGAAATATGGAACCAATCCAATCACAGGAGAAGTAAGTAATCATGAGTGTGTCCACTTCATGTCTTTGCTTTCCTTGTGCTCAGTTTCCTGTTTAATGTGTTGGAGAAACACATGTGCCTTAGTGAAAGCAAAACAAGTTGATCAGGAATGCTGTTTTGAAGAATCATACTTGTGAGATCAGCCTTGCTGAGATTCATGTAGACGTTTCCTGGGGATCTCTTTTTAGCTGAAAAGAAAAGGGCTTTGGCATTTTAGACCTAATATCCCCTCACTTCATCATGTTAATGATCCTTGTAGTATTAAATAGTCAACCTTGTACTATGTGTGCGGAAAAAAGAGTAGAGCATGGAATTTTATTTTTTTTTGGTGGATTGTAAGTAGCGAGGCACAGGAAATGTGTGGTTCATTTGTGTGAACTCTCAGGGCATCCTGCCTGCCTTACAGGTGTGGCATAATTAATATCTGCATAGAGGAAAATACAGCCTCTGTTGTTACTGCTGGTGCTGCCCAGAAAGCCTGACTGGTGATTAATGGAAAAGACTCTCTACTGCTGCCTCATATAAGCAGAATTCTAGTCCATATAGGACAAGGGAGTGGCAAGCTCACCTTTCCATCTGGGATTAAACTTGCAGCAGTTTCCTAACCCAAGGGATATTTGGCTTTTTGCAGATTCTAAAGAGATTAATAGATGATATTATGAGTGGTATGCTTAAACTGCAAAGTCTTTTGAGTTATCTTGGCCATATATTTCAGAAAGCTTCTGGCCTTCCTCTGTCGTGATAGTTCACTGCAAGAGTGGGATTTAAGTGCTTTTGTGGGTTTCTCCCCCCTTTTTCTGCATAAAGGATAATTATGAAAGGATTATTTTCTGTAGTAGTATGAAGTTGTAAAGCACTGAATAAATATGAAGTACTGGAGGTATTTCCTTGTTGGAATTTTGTTTTTTTTTTTCTGATGTGTTAGAAAGAGTGCATTGTTTATGAGGGCAGAGAGGGAAATTTTAAGTACCAAGTGTTGCTTGAGCTGCCAGAACTTGCCTCTTCCCCCTGCGCCTGCAGTTACTTTCGCGGGCACTGGGCGGCAGCCACTGCCCAGGATCGGGGGAGGTTTGCAGATGGCTCTGAGCTGTGAGATTGCCTCTGAAACATCTTGTGTTTGATTAAAGATTTTCCCAGCAGACAGATAGGAGGAGAAGCTAAATACAGACGAGTATTCCAAACTCTGAACGTGAACAGCCTGTCTGAGACTCAGTATCTTCCTGCAGGTGTGTTTGTGCGATGGAGAGATGATTCAAGGTCTTTCTTCACACATGAAGAGGCCAATGTATTGTTGAGAAGGCATGACATTACATTTTCATTTGTTTTTGCCAGCCTCTCACCACTTTGCTGCTGTCTGCATTGGTTGGGTGTTTTGGGGTGTTGCCAAATCAATTTTTTTCCCTCAGAACAGCTCCATCACACCTGTTCTCATTGCAGACTGTGAACTGTGATGTGGTTTAAAATTGCTCTGAGTAAATGCTAAGCAAGAAGTGTAATGTGCCTACTGGTCTTGTGTAATATGGAGAGAGGGAGACTGTGCAGAACATACTTGGTGAACCATAAATGCTCAAATGAAGTCAGGCTTTGACACCTGTTACTTTACCCAGACATGTGCCTCAGTAGTTGATCTGCAGTGAATCTCCAGCTCTCCTCAATATACATCCCCCCCTTTTTCTCTGTATCACTCTGTCTGGGGAGCTCACTCTTCTCCCCTTTTGTTCTGTGGTGGACTGGTGCTGTACAGAACTCTCCACAGAACAAAGGTGTTCCAGACTACTTGGAAGGAAAAGGAGCCACTTGTTCTTTAGAATAGTACATAGCCCTGCTGAATCCTGCCGTGTGGAGTTACAGGGTGAAGAGTGGGGTTGAAATGCAGCCTTTGTTTCCCAGAGGACTGGTTCAGGATTTTGGATGGCATTGGGCAGGACAGGGATGGGATGAGGCAGGGTAGGTGGCAGAGGAAGTCAGTGAATTGAGCTTGTGCTGTCCTCTATTTAATCTGTCAATGTGTGCACACCTTCTGTTCCCTGTGCAGCTTGCTCCTTGTGGAAACCAGAAAGTATCTTCTGTAATGAGTTGGTGACTTACAGAAACTCAAGACACTGTGTTGATTTAGAAAGGAATTGAGGCAGAGTAGCTTCAATGCCATGCTTTGTGCAGTGACTCGTGATATTACTGTGCACAGGTTGGTGATGAGGCTCTGGAGAATTCTTCCATTTATTTGTCCTGAAGTAAAAAATTATAATGAAATCCTTTGTGTCTTGTACTTCTCTTGTTATGGCTTGCTACAGGACAAATGCTTTAGAGAAGTCAATAGGCTACTTGGAAATGGCAGTGTTAATGGTGCACTCTTGGCACTCGCTAATTCTGTCTAGCTGTCTTGTTTCTGAAGTGGACCCCTCAGTGGAGAACTGGAGAGCCTTGCAGTCATCGTTATATTTATCTTCACAGTGCTCCAGAGGGTAGGACTGTGCTAGTCTTTTATTAATTGGATGTTTGTGAACTGATCTGCAAGGAACTTCTCTGAGTCTTCTGAATCCTAAACTATTGGACCAACCTTCCTTTTGAAAGAAATGCTGCAATGCCAAGATTGTAGTTACTCTTCTATATGTTTGAAATATTTTAATTTTATTTTTTCTTTCTCTCCTTTCCTAGACCTTCTAATGGCTTATGGTTATTTTTTCGTGCCTTTCTGAACATTCTCCTGAAGTGCAGTAGGGGCATCAACACCCATTTAGGAGAAACAAATCACCATTGACTTATGTCTGATGTTTCCCATGAACTATTCCAGAAAATAACTTTATTCTTCTCCCCTTTTTAAGAAAGCATTGGAGTAAAAAATGCTTATGTTACTGCACCAGTAATCATGGAAGAAACAGTGCATCCCTTGCAGCTGAACTACAGCCTGTCAGTTGGCATTGGTTCACTTACTTTTCTTGTCAGCTTTGTCAGGACACTGCCCTAGCATATCTTTACACTAAAATCGCATAAAAAAAAGAGGAAATCATAGTTAGCTCATTCCTTTTAACTGAGAACAGCAATTTGGCTTCTTGGGCTTGCAGATAGTTGCAAGCTTGCCAGAAAGTTTCATGTAGTGACGTTCTGACAGCCTGACCAGCATGCCCACACAAGTCAGCCAGCTGGGCCCAGGATACCTGCTTCCAAGAAGGGAGATTGGCCAGAGCATGTCTGGTTTGTTGGAATCTCAAATATGAACAGATGATAGATCAGCATGCCTTTTGACAGGAATTTCAAGGAAATTGTTCTTCTTTGTTGCGTGGATATGTTATATGTGGGCTGAGCTATTTTTCCTCCTTTGCATTGTAATGTGTCTGATGTCAATTCCTATTTTTTCCACTCTGGTTCAGTGACATTCTAACTGTGTGTGGGCAGGCCACATTATTGTGGCTGTATCTCAGCCACGATCAAGGCTCTGTAACCTTGGGCAAATATCTCTTCCCCTGACTCGCAAGTAGCTTTCTCTTTGTCCCCTGTTCTCCCTTTTCTGTGGGAATGGAGTGCTTGAAAGCCACAATGTTTGCTTCTAAGGCTTTGGTCCAAAGTCAGTTTTATGACTTTATATGCATCTACTCTTAAACTCATGTAGAGGGCTCAGCCATGTGAAATCTTTCTGCACAGCTCAGAGCACAGTACAATCCGTGTGTGTGCTGATCCTGTCTATCCCAAAGAGCCAATCCTCATGTTCAGGGCTGTGTGCACTGTGCTGACATTGTGTATGTGTCTTGAAGGGCAAACACAATTCAGTCAAGTTAATTTAGCTTGGGCTTAGCATACACCTAAGAGTCAGGTTAAGAGACCTGAAGATGCTCTGTGGTGGATGTATGAGACTGGGAGTCACATTTCTGATCTGAGTGAGGCAGAACACAATTTGTGTTCTGCTCTGTCTCATGCGAGGTTAGGATCCAGACCTGCAGGCCAGAGAGAGCATTTTCTTAAGTGTTACAAGGTTTTAGCTTCTTACTAGGATAAAGAGGAATTTTTTTATACATTCTTAGGGTTTTTAAAGAGTTGGAAAGGCCTTTTGCTTGGACTGCCTCTGAAGATAACCATAGGAGTCTGGTGCATATGAAGAAGCAGTAGAAGGCAGAGCCACTGACATGGAAAATGAGAACTAACTTTGGAGTCAGAAGGCTGAAAATCTCTGACTTTCCCCAGTGAGACATCTGCCTTTTAAAAAGAGAGAGCAGGACACAAACTTTTACTCTGTGTACACTATAAATGTTTGCTGTTTTTCTCCCACACTCTTAATCCTGTATTTACCAAATAAAACTGACCTGGGGTGAAATTATGGCTAACATGACCAAATAATTGTGGCAGTACAGGTGCCTGGCTCGTGCAGTAAGCCTGTCTGATCCACGCTTTGGAAGGACCCAGAGAGCTTGTACCTGCAGTGCCCTGCAGCAGTGACAGCCTGTAGTGGACACCTCCTCCCCCCAGCACTGCACACTAGGCATGTAGGCAGTGCCCCTTCCTTTTTAAATTGTTTGTTTGTAGAAGGGTTGGTAGGATGATGCTTGCCTGAGTAACTGCAGCACTTTCAAAACCAGTAACTTATTACCCTCAAAGGAAAAAAATCACTTCCAAGTCTGTTGTTTCAGAACTTTGGAAACACATTCCTTAAATCTATTTATTAACCAATTCATCTCCCAAATGCTGGTGGCTATTGTTACTTCATTTTACTGGGAAAGCATGGTTTCTTTTCAGTTTGACCAGCTAGATTTCAGTCAGCCTCATGGAAATCAGTTGCTGGTCTTGCAATGAGAGTAGCTTGCTGACCTGCTTTAATGATGAGGATGCGGAGAAGATTACTTCTTTTACTGCTAAATATATTAATCTCACTTTAAAAAGGAACAAACAACCTTCCAACCCTTATTTTTAATGCACAAAAAAAGGTTTTGGCTGTCTAAATAAGGGAAATCCTGCCTGAAGAGGATGCAGAAATCGGAGCAAAGGTGAAACTTCCTTAAACGTG